AAAGCTTAAAATTATAGATACATATTTCTGATTCCTAAATAAAACAATTATTTGAATAATCATATTTTATTTCTTTCAAACATTATATTTGATATTGCCAAGGAAGCTGACCTTGTTCCGATAGAAAATAACATTTTAGCTCATTTCTAATTACACTTGGTTCTACATTTAGAGCGATCTGCGGTATATTTTGTTGTATTTCGTTCAAAACTCCATCAGTAGTTCTTTCATTTCTCTTCATAAAATTATGCAGATGCACACAAGCCATCACGACAATTTTTGCTTTCTCATTTTGTAAACCAATGCGTGAATGCAAAATTCTGAATTTATTAGATAAAATGCCAAACGCGTCTTCTACAACCATGCGCCCGCGACTAATTCTATAATTAAAAACCCTCTCAGGTGATCCTTTTGCATGATATCCAGAAAATGGTTTTATTATATTCTGTGAGATGGGGAAAGCATCGTCACCGATGAAATAAAAAGGTACAGGTGTATTTCTACCTTGTAATGGAATCGCTTGTGGCAGACTTAAAGTTCCATCTCGTATCATATCAAAAAAAGTTGAATTTCGTAGAACTCCACCATCAGATATTCTGCCCTGACATCCAATGTCTACGTATAAAAAGTTATAATTGGCATCGATTAAAGCTAGCAAAACAATACTGAAATATGACTTATAATTAAAAAACTCAGAACCGCTATTAGTTGGACATAGTATACGTATATGTTTCCCATCGAGGGCACCTACGCAATTAGGTACATTCCATTTCTGCATGAAACTTCGAGCCACTGATAGCCATTCTCCCTGTGTATTCGGCATCTGTAAAATAAAATTGTTTGTGATATTTGTGTGTTTAGTTCTAGTTACATGTATGTAAAATGTGTGTGAAGTTCCAGGTACAGTATAAAATCAGATATTATAATTGTGTCTTGTACATGCCGTAACTGTGTGAATGTATGTGGTCTGTTTTGTTTTCTAATGTAGGTGTTCAGTTTCTAAATACCTAATGTGTTACGGATATTTTGTACTTACCCTTAAATAATTGGATAATGTAGACACCAAAGTTTGACAAACATCTGGAATTATTAAAGAAATAACTTGTGGAGACACTTTAAACAGTGTACCGAGTGAAAAATAAGAGTCTCCTGTAGCCAGGTATCTCAAAGTAATTGCTAGTCGATCGGAAGCTGACACAGCATTTCTCCAGCGGGTGTCAGTTTTTGATATCATGGGTCCAGTTAAATTCAGTAATATTTCAAATTCTTCACTAGAGATCCTTAGAAAAGTGTTAAATTTCGAACGAATATTTCTTCGGTTTATGTCATCCTTTCTAAAATCTTCAAGTATCGGGGACACATTAGGCCTATTTCGAAGACTTGGTCTGACCCAATATCTTCGTTTGATTTTGCGGTTCTTTTTATGAATAATGACATACAACACTACACTTGCGATACATGCAACTATATCATAGTCCAACATCTTCCAATTCTACGTACACGACCAATTTCGACGAAAGTCACAACACTACTGCGAAAATTGCAACCGCATCTGCAGGCCGCCGGTAAAGCCGGCGGCAAATTCAGCGGCAAGGCGGTCTGAAAGCCGGCGGCAAACCCGGCGGCATAAGCCGGCATGTGTGGATGCGCCATTTTACCTGCGGCACGCGCGGCTTTTGGTGCCGGCGGCAGTTTGCTTGCGGCTTCGATACGGAGTGGTAGTGTTGTCGTATTCATTTAAATAACGAAATGACAGAATTTAACTGGGATGATAGTGCAGTCACTCAATCTGTCAGAGACCTTATTGTGTTCCCTCCTTATGAATATTATTGGAACGGAACCACATATACAATTAGAGCAGTACAGGCACTGAACTCTCAGGAAATGATCATATTGGATCAAGTATCCCAGATCTTCAACTCTCTATCCGACAACACCATATTAACAAGACTCCATCCAGTGACCCTGTATAATCTGTTTATGGAAAAGTATCAGTGTAATGGTGGAGACATTAAAAAGACCATGAAAGACTTAATAGCTGAAGCCGAGGGCAACAGGGCATTGTAACTCCTACCCTTATCCTCCAAACCATTTCGTTGGACATTTGTGGTGGCGGAAGTCAAGCAACCTATACTTGGTGCTGATTTCTTAGCCCATTATAAACTATTAGTGGACGTCAACAAGAAAAAGCTCATTGACTCAGTGACTTGTCTAAAAACTATTGCGTCTGTGACTATGCAAAGTGAGTCATCAATCAGAACAATTGACTGTAAAAATATATATAGCGATATTTTAAGCGAGTTTCCAAATGTAACGAAACCAATTAATTTTAAGGAAGCTCCCTGCCATGAGATAACTCATTTTATAGAGACATCGGGACAACCAGTATTTGCCCGTCCGCGACCATTGCCGCCAGACAAATACTTCAAGGTGAAGGCCGAGTTTCAACGCATGCAAGAGATGGGGATATGCAGGCCCTCCAAAAGTAATTGGGCAAGCCCTCTTCATGTAGTTGCGAAAAAGAATGGCGAACTAAGACCCTGTGGTGATTATAGAGCATTGAACGCAATCACCAAGCCGGATCGTTACCCGATACCCCGCATTCAAGATTGTAGTTATCTATTACACGGAAAAACTATATTTTCGAAAATTTACATTCAACGTGCATATCATAATATTCCTATACATAAAGACGACATTCCGAAGACCGCAATAACAACCCCATTTGGTTTATTTGAATTTGTGCGCCTTGGTTTCGGTTTTCGTACGGCAGCACAAACATTTCAACGATTTATGCAAGATGAAGTACTACGAAACCTTAATTGCGTGTTCGTTTACATCGATGACGTCATTATTGCATCGTCTACGAAAGATGAGCATAGACGCCATATACGGGAAGTACTAGAACGATTAGAGAAATATGGCATCACCATAAATTTATCAAAGTGCGAATTTGGCAAAACTGAAGTAGATTTTTTGGGATTTCGGATAGCGAAAGATGGTATGAAACCCAAAGATGACCAAGTCAAAGTTATTTCCGAGTTTCCAAGGCCTAAGACCGTAGAAGAACTTCGTCGTTTTCTAGGAATGGTCAACTTTTACAGGCGACATTTACCGAATGCGGCTGGAATGCAAGCACAGCTGAATATGTTTCTACACAATTCAAAGAAAAAGGATAAGAGCCTAATTCCGTGGACAGACGAAAGTATAAAAGCGTTTGAGCAGTGTAAACAAAGCCTAAAAAGCGCAGTTACACTGTCATTCCCATCACCAGAAGCACCGCTAGCCCTCATGACGGACTGTTCCAATACATGTGCTGGAGCTGTGTTGCAGCAAAGAGAAGGCGAAACATGGAAACCAGTGGGATTCTTTTCCACAAAACTGAGTGAGACACAGCAACGTTATTCAACGTACGATAGAGAGTTATTGGCAATCTACTTAGCTATAAAACACTTCCGACATTTGATTGAAGGAAGGCCAATTACAATATACACCGACCACAAACCCATAGTTTACTCACTACAGAAAAATGCAGTTAGTAAAAATGACACCCCGAGAAGAATACGACAATTAGACTTCATTATGCAATTTTGTACCGAAATAAGGCATATATCGGGCATGGAGAATATTGTTGCTGACTGTTTGTCAAGAATATCAGCAATAGATGTATCATCAACCGATGAGTCACCGTTGGACTATGAAAAGTTAGCCGAAGCACAAAAGAATGATGAAGAGTTGAATAACCTCATGAAATCAAAACAATTGACTTTCAACAAGATATTGATACCTAATTGTAGCGAACCAATTCAGTGCGAGGTATCAATGAATCGAGCACGACCATATTTGCCGAAAAGGTATCGTGTATCGGCTTTCAACGCAGTACACGGGATTAGTCACCCAGGCACGCGAACAACTAGAAAGATGATGCAAGACAGATATATATGGAAAGGCATGAACAAAGACGTAACTGAATGGGTCAAATGTTGTATTGATTGCCAGAAGTCAAAGGTTCAAAGACATACAGTGTCACCACATGGACATTTTGTGCACAGTGACCGATTTGATCACCTGCATATGGATATTGTTGGACCCCTTATGTACTGTAATGGTTATCGGTACATTGTAACAATGGTCGATAGAAAAACGGGATGGCCGGAAGCTTTTCCAGTTAAGGATATTACAGCTGAAACGGTAGCGGATATCATGTACTCTGGTTGGATATCGCGATTTGGATGTCCCTTAAATCTAACCACAGATCAAGGTTCTACCTTCTTATCGCAGCTATTCGAGCATTTGGCCAAAAGAATGGGAATCAGAAAATTTAGAACAACTGCTTACCATCCACAGTCGAATGGTATCGTAGAAAGATGGCATCGATCCCTTAAAGCTGCACTTATGTCCAGAGGCAATACGGAGCAATGGGTAGCAGAGTTACCCACAGTACTACTAGGCTTAAGAGCGAGTCTAAGAGACGACACACAAACTAGCGCTGCAGAAATGGTGTTAGGTGAAGCACTTCGACTACCTGGTGATTTCTTCCAACCGTTAAGATTAGAAACTGCTAACAATGTCTCGTTCGTGCAAGAATTGCGTAGGAAGTTAGCACATTTAGCTTCCGTTCCAAGGAAACAGTTGCATCAAGGAAAAATATTCGTACACCCCGATCTACAAGATTGTACGCATGTATTTGTACGTGTTGACAAAGTATCCAAACCACTTACTCAACCGTATATGGGACCTTTTAAAGTAATCGAAAAATCAGACAAATATTTTAAAATCATGCAGGCAGATACGCAGAAAGTAATTAGTATTGATCGATTAAAACCAGCCTATTCACTCATTACAAATGAAGACATAGATGTTCCAAAAAAGGCAACTCCAAATGTAAACAATGACCCGAAGGTATCGAGATTCGGACGAGTCATTAAACCAGTAGTGCGCTTTACACTGTAAAGACTTATCTAACAATCTAAAAGAAAGCCAACAAATTATTAACAACAATGGGTAGCAAGTCGAGTAAAAAATCTGAAGAAATAATTATTGCCCAAAACGGCGCTGGGAACAGTGCCGCAGCTACACAGACCGAGACACAGATGTGGACTTCGGTACGGCAGGAGACGTACTTGCTAATCATCATTGCATGTATCCTGATGGCGATACTCTATGTGATGTGGCGCTATTGTAAGACCGGGTACGCCCGGTACCTGCGCCGAGAGCTGGTGGAGCTGACAAGGATGGAGTCACGCGCTGGTGAGCCAGGCTATGACAGCCGCCCACCACAACGCGTAATAGTGTAGTGAAGTGATAAGTGATAGTGAAAGCAGATCGATAAATAGTAAGAATACAAGTGTTCTAAACCAGTGTTTATTTTATAATACAGATAATAGTATGTAATCTGATAGGTACATTAACAATAACAATCGGCGAGTCTATAATATTTTAAACAGTAATACCAACTGTAACCATTTTTAAATAAGGGGGGTGTACTGTGCCTACAGCCCTAGATTATAAGTATGATGTCATTTGTCTAGTGTATAAGTCATAGGTGTATTCCTAAATATTTTAGTATCGATTAGTGCATCCTAATAAACGCACGTATATTGGCCTACTGTTTTATTGATACTCACCTAAGAAAGTACATCATACATACTTTGGACAGCAAGCGCACATACTTTTATTAATAGAAAAGTATCAAGAAAATGAACTATTGTGGAACCCAAGGCATATGGATTTCAAGAATCGCAACAAAAGAAATGATGCTGTTAGGGATATTGCTTCTGTGTTCAACATAGCATCATCAGAAATCGAGAGAAAACTGAAGAATTTATCCAGCCATTATTTTCGAGAAAAACGCAAATATGAAGAATCTAAAAGGAGTGGATCTGGACGGGATGATGTTCAATTGCCGAAATGGTTTGCTTATAAGGCGTTATCATTTCTTAATGACAAGAATGCACCGGTACCGACTCTGAACAGCCTCACACCTAGTGTAAGTACCCAACAAATTCTTATAATTAAGTAGACTAGTTGGTCGACCATAATTAATTTAAAATACATATTTCATTATGTAATATTTTCGTTAATAGGGGTACAAAGATTTTGCTTCGCGTATTAATATTTTAGATACCTACTACCTACAACCCGGTAACAATACATAATACCACGAAGCGCGGGCGAGCATACTCTCGTTTTTGACCTTATGTAGTCGGCATAACACTTACCGAAAGCGAAGTATTAGGGAATAAGCGCTCGTGAAGAGTGTATAGGCGTCATCAGTGGTGACTGTATACATACATGTAATGTTTATAAGCTTGGTTTTTATTTAATATTTACATACTGATAAGATATATTCAAAATATAATATTGAAGCTTGTTTGCAATTATTTATAAGATTTCTTTTTTATTTTCAGTCTTCACAAGATAATATCACTTCCCAGACTACGCTTCTTTCGACAAGGACTTCACGAAAGCGAAATATAGAGAGAGAACCTGAAGTTGATGAAGCTTTGCAATTACTGAGGGAGATCACGTCTAATGCAAGGCAACGCGATGATGCTGCTATATTTGCAGACTATATAAGTAGCAAGTTGAGGAAGATGGATCATTACACGATGTGTACAGTACAACATCAAATCCAGAATATTGTCTATGAAGCAGAAATGAGAATGGGTTCGATGAATTTTGATACCAATAATACTACTCAGCCTCTTCGTTATCAAAATGTTCTTCCAGGATACTTCACAGGCCGACCTACAACGTCAGCAATGTCACCGTCGCCCTCAACTTCGCGCTCTGTTCAATCAGACTATGAAATGCAAAATAGCCCAGATGTCAATACAAGTGACAGTCTGTTACAAGTCTTGGAAAATAATTTAACCGAAAATAGTGTAATAGATTAAAATAAGGTTACATATTAAAATGATGAAAAACGTAATGCCTTTACTTAAAACTAAAATAAATGTTTATATTTTTGGTTAAATTATTTTATTTCAATAAAAGCTTAAAATTATAGATACATATTTCTGATTCCTAAATAAAACAATTATTTGAATAATCATATTTTATTTCTTTCAAACATTATATTTGATATTGCCAAGGAAGCTGACCTTGTTCCGATAGAAAATAACATTTTAGCTCATTTCTAATTACACTTGGTTCTACATTTAGAGCGATCTGCGGTATATTTTGTTGTATTTCGTTCAAAACTCCATCAGTAGTTCTTTCATTTCTCTTCATAAAATTATGCAGATGCACACAAGCCATCACGACAATTTTTGCTTTCTCATTTTGTAAACCAATGCGTGAATGCAAAATTCTGAATTTATTAGATAAAATGCCAAACGCGTCTTCTACAACCATGCGCCCGCGACTAATTCTATAATTAAAAACCCTCTCAGGTGATCCTTTTGCATGATATCCAGAAAATGGTTTTATTATATTCTGTGAGATGGGGAAAGCATCGTCACCGATGAAATAAAAAGGTACAGGTGTATTTCTACCTTGTAATGGAATCGCTTGTGGCAGACTTAAAGTTCCATCTCGTATCATATCAAAAAAAGTTGAATTTCGTAGAACTCCACCATCAGATATTCTGCCCTGACATCCAATGTCTACGTATAAAAAGTTATAATTGGCATCGATTAAAGCTAGCAAAACAATACTGAAATATGACTTATAATTAAAAAACTCAGAACCGCTATTAGTTGGACATAGTATACGTATATGTTTCCCATCGAGGGCACCTACGCAATTAGGTACATTCCATTTCTGCATGAAACTTCGAGCCACTGATAGCCATTCTCCCTGTGTATTCGGCATCTGTAAAATAAAATTGTTTGTGATATTTGTGTGTTTAGTTCTAGTTACATGTATGTAAAATGTGTGTGAAGTTCCAGGTACAGTATAAAATCAGATATTATAATTGTGTCTTGTACATGCCGTAACTGTGTGAATGTATGTGGTCTGTTTTGTTTTCTAATGTAGGTGTTCAGTTTCTAAATACCTAATGTGTTACGGATATTTTGTACTTACCCTTAAATAATTGGATAATGTAGACACCAAAGTTTGACAAACATCTGGAATTATTAAAGAAATAACTTGTGGAGACACTTTAAACAGTGTACCGAGTGAAAAATAAGAGTCTCCTGTAGCCAGGTATCTCAAAGTAATTGCTAGTCGATCGGAAGCTGACACAGCATTTCTCCAGCGGGTGTCAGTTTTTGATATCATGGGTCCAGTTAAATTCAGTAATATTTCAAATTCTTCACTAGAGATCCTTAGAAAAGTGTTAAATTTCGAACGAATATTTCTTCGGTTTATGTCATCCTTTCTAAAATCTTCAAGTATCGGGGACACATTAGGCCTATTTCGAAGACTTGGTCTGACCCAATATCTTCGTTTGATTTTGCGGTTCTTTTTATGAATAATGACATACAACACTACACTTGCGATACATGCAACTATATCATAGTCCAACATCTTCCAATTCTACGTACACGACCAATTTCGACGAAAGTCACAACACTACTGCGAAAATTGCAACCGCATCTGCAGGCCGCCGGTAAAGCCGGCGGCAAATTCAGCGGCAAGGCGGTCTGAAAGCCGGCGGCAAACCCGGCGGCATAAGTGTGGATGCGCCATTAAGTTCATTTCAGTTCATTGGGCAATAAGTATTCACTTGCTTAGTCTTCTTTCTAGCATAATTTCTGTCTATTGTTTCAACAGTACTTTCTAGATTTTTTTACAGGTCCTTCTTTCTTATTTAGCTCATGTTTTGCCTCCTATTTATTGTCAATGGCGTGTTAGGATTATTACAGTTTTTTAGCACGAACTGGACACGTTGCTACCTGCAAGGAATTACGACGCGCGTAGGTACTTTTGTTCAAACGGCCGAGCGCCGCACCAAGTGATTTCCCGCGCAAATAAATTGGTGGTCGGCAGACGGTAGCCTGACAAAATGCTTGACATAGCGAATACCTACCGTTGTATGCAATACTAGAATATTATTGCTTTAGCTTATTACTGGATAATTCTGGAATGCGCTGTTTGGTAACGAAGTATTACAAGTTTATTCGTGTATATACTTAGCTGTTGTTTGAATTCTGCCGAATAAAAATATTTTTCAATAACATGACAACCAATAATAAGATTAATAGATATGAATAAAAAACAGGAAGTGTATCTAAGTTCGTAGATTTGATATACGTATTAAAAACTGTATTTTTTTTTAAGATGACTTTAGTATTATATTCGATGGGGGCGTCGCTATGTTTTATTTCGTTTGGGCCTCGTCAGGCACATATATGCACATATTATTATTTATTTATACAGTTGATAAACATACTTATATATGTGGAAATACATACCTACATATTATAGATAAATTACACCCAGACACAGAACAAATATTCAAGCTCATCACACAAATATTTGTCCTGGGTGGGAATCGAACCCACGACCTCACGCTTCGCTGTCGGCTCATCACCCACTATATATATGTGTCACCGTACCCATCCTATGTGAAATAGACTATACGCAACGGAGGCAGTCAATAATAGGATATAATTCATTTTTATTTCCAGGCACAATCTAACAACGCTTCGACATTGCAACAAGCTATAGCAACAAGTCCAATACCGTGCAGCAGGAACAATGGTCTTCAACTCCATATAACCCAAAAATAGAACATTTTAATAATGGAAATTTTATACAATTAGACATATTTCAACATTTTTTACATAATGAACTAGTCACGCAAATTATTACCTGTATAAATCAATATCATAATTATTTTTTGCTAAATGTGCCTTTGTCTGCCCACTCTAGATTGTACAGATGGCACGACATAACCGTTCCTGAGTTTTACATTTTTATTTCAATAGTGATGTTGATGTCGCGAAACAAACATTTGACCATCGAAGAGCACTGGTCTACAGATCCATTATTATTGTTATTTGGCAGCCTCATGCCAAGAAATCGATTTGTTAATATTTTAGGTATGTTATATTTTCGTAATCCTTTTAAAAAAAAACCAAATTTAAAATTGCAGAAAATAGATCTAGTGATTAATCATGCCCGCCAAAAATATAAACAATTATTAACACCCTATAAAAATGTGTGTGTAGACGAGAGCATAGTCCCATTTAAAGGGAGACTTTCAATGAAACAATATCTCCCGAAAAAACGATACCGATTCGGCGTTAAATTATTTGTCCTGTGCGACGTGACCACTGGCATAATTTTAGATTTTATTGTGTATTGTGGTGCTACAACCGCTATCGTGGACCCGGCTAATTTGGGTGTTGGTGGTGCAGTGGTTGTTACACTGATTCAAGACTTTTTTGGGTCATATAGACATTTGTACATAGATAATTGGTACACGAGTCCTAAATTATTGCGATATTTGCATGAAAATAATATTTATGCATGTGGTACTGTGAAGAAAAATAGAGCGGGAATGCCATCAATGACTCAAAAATTAAAAAGAGGAGAAATTATTTCGAAGTCTCTTCCACCGCTAACGGCTATCAAGTGGCACGATAAAAAAGATATACATTTATTAACTACTATTCATGACAAAACAATGCACCCGTCTTTGAAAGAAGACCGCAGTACTGGTTTGCCAGTTATGAAACCAAAAGCCGTTCTAGACTATAGCAGCAATATGGGGAGTGTTGATACAGCTGATATGATGTTAAGTTCTGTACAGTGTATTAGAAAATCTTTGAAATGGTACAAAAAGCTATTCTTTCACATTGTAGACATGCATTTACTAAATTCTTTTAACACATATAAAGTAATAAAAAATGATACGAAAGCGGCAACAGCAGATTTTCAATTAAATATTATTCGACAAATAATTCAAAAGTACAACCCACTGGCTCTGATACACCCACAAATATCGCGGAGTAATATAAATAACCCATTAAGAATACTGCCCGGTAACACGGTAGAACATATGCCCGAAATTAAACCCCAATACCGAAACTGTAAAGAATGTGCCAAACAAAAGGTTAGAAAACAAACTCGATTCATGTGTCGTATTTGCAACGTCTACTTGTGTGAAGGTGTTATAGGTAAATTCCTAGTACCTATAAATGAAACCAATCTGTGATTTCAGAATATTGTTTTGATACGAATCAATCTGTGATTTTAGAATAATGTTTTCAAATGAGTCAATATGTGATTTTAAAATAATGTCTTCAAATGAGTCAATATGTGATTTTAAAATAATGTCTTCATATGAGTCAATCTGTGATTTTAGAATATTGTTTTGATACGAATCAATCTGTGATTTTAGAATAATGTTTTCAAATGAGTCAATATGTGATTTTAAAATAATGTCTTCATATGAGTCAATGTGTGATTTTAGAATATTGTTTTGATACGAATCAATCTGTGATTTTAGAATAATGTTTTCAAATGAGTCAATCTTTGTTAAAAAAATATGTGTGTACTATAAAAAAAGTGATTTATATTGTACCTACTTATTTATTATATAAGCTAAAGCAATATATACATTTATTATTAAGTTGAGATTATGTTTTACTACCTATTGAAAAGTTGATTTTATTTTGTCAAAAATAAAAGAGTAAGTTCAGTTTTAAAACCTGTATTTATTTAACTCTTCTCACTTCTCTACCTAAGTTGTATTTGGCATTTCTAAAGTATTACTTTTAATTAAGTAAATCTAATATTTTCTGCATATATATATTTCTGTTACTATATGTGCACTTACAAATTAACTTAATTAGAATAATAATCACAGTTCAATCAAATATTCGCTTAATTGGAATAATCACAGTTTAATCATTTTTCAGTTTTCATTTTTCTTTATGGAAAACCTCTAAAATTTTCTGCATAATTTCATATCTTTTTTTTGTGTCAAATCTTAGTAACT